CCCCACATGCGCGTGAACGGATAGAGTCTGAAAGGTTCCCTGCTTTGGCTGGACTTGCTACTATTGGTCTGAATCTTAGCCCCAGGTGCACTCCGGGGTGTTCAAACCATTGGCTCTTCTCCTTTTTAATGTATTTGGCAGCTGCACAGAATTCCTATTTTAAATAGATTATTCTGCCATGACGAAAAATGTTTTGAAAACAACTTCCATATTGTGTGTGGTGTGTGGCACAATTTTAACAGTAAAACTTATGTTTATGCATTTAACTCAATCAAATTTGTTTTTAAACTCATGACAGTTTTGTTCCTACCCATATTCCTGTAAGTTTTCCTTTAAAGTTTATTCTAAGTGATATGTATAGGATGAAAAAAGTAAGTATATGTCTCTGGAAAAAGCAGCCTTTTTGTTCCCTTCGGGGCAGGACTGGGGTTTGGGGTCGAGTGGAATGTCAGTAGTGAAGGTTCAGGACCAGTTTCCCAAGCCAGCCCGTGGGGCCTGGTAGGCAGGTTTGGTTTCTGACGGTTGAAGAGCTGCACACTGGGGAGGGGGATAGGCATGGTTTACAGGCAAACGGTTGAGTTGAAGACCTGGCTTGGTCACCGGCGGAATTTAGGCGAGGTGTACCCCATGCGCCCTGCTGACTCGTCTGCCAGTGGAGGCAAGGGCACCTCTCTGGGAAGGTCATGGCGAGGTTGCAACATGGTGCCCACAGGCGCTTGGCGAGCACCAGGGAAGATGCGTTTCCTTCCCTTCTAGCAGGCCAGGTGCCGAAGGACCTTCCGACCTTCCGTGTGCTCGCTGCTGGGCTAAGCAAAGGTGGCGTCTACCAGTGAGGGGTATTTCAGTGCCCAGCGAGGTTCAGAAGAGGTCTAGCTGGCAGTGTGGCTGTGAGAGGACACGTGGAAAGGACACGTTCAGTTTGTTATTCAGTGTTTATTAAGTAGATTCAGTCTTATATATGATATACAGATTCAAAAGAGAAAGGATTCCACATACTTATGAAATCAGTGCATTTAGCAAGTAATACCATGGAGAAACAGCTCGATTAACAGCTCATTGGTCTTTTGTTAAGTGAGGGGAGAGGGAGTTGGCCTGTGCTAGTCATTCCACAAACAAAACAGAATTTAGTTGCATCACATAGAGAAGACACAGTCTGAGAATTAAAATATTGAGCCACATTTACTGGAAAAACTCACTATATAGAACACAAAGGATTTTTATAGAGCGTTGAAGAGGAAGTTCTCACCTGCTTAGAAGAGCCACGTTAAGTTGCATAGGTGCATATCTGTAAAAATATAATTTAGAGGTGAAGCCACTGATTAAGTAATAAAGAGTCACCTTTAAAAGTTGGTGCCATCCATTGTTTGCCTAAGTGCCATATGCTTATCGTCTGGAGCCCTCTGCCCCTCGCCAGAGGTGATGCCTCCAGGGGAACCTTGAAGTGTCTTCACGTCTGCACTGGAGACTCTTCCAGTCTCACCCAGGTAGGGAGCTGGCGCTCTCCCAGAACCGTCTGAATGATGCCAGAGGACCGCTGACAACCTGCCACCAAGGCTGCTGGGAGAACCATCTCCACCACAGCTGTGCAGCCCAGTCCTGCTTCACTGTCCACCTGCCGTGCAGTCGCCCGCCGATGGCACGGGAGCCTCTGTCCCGGCCCTGCTTCTAAACGGACCACCTGCAGGCGCATGCAGGCCATCTGCTTACACAGAGATTTTTCTGAGCTTAGAAAAGTGTTTTTCGGTAAATCCGAGTTCTGTGTGTTGTAGGTTTGTGTTCTTGTTTTTAGGTGGAAACATAAGTAAAAAGTGAGAGGTTTTTGTTTCGTGGCTTTGCTAAGCAGATGAGCGTAGTGAGGTGCACCTTCCTCCTCAAGAGCGAGTCTGCAGAACACACGGGGCTGGGGCATCTGTACATGTAAACAGTACACTTTCACTGAGTCCAAAATTAGGAGCAAAAATACAAAGGTTCACATTGGTCTTAGGTAGATACGGGCGAAAAAGGATTGAGCTGTTTAGCCCAGAAACAATGAAAACAACGTTTCTAAAGCACCACTAAATTATATAAAAATCAGACCATGGACGGATTGAAACTGGTATTCTGGTGAAATACTTTACTATCTTGTAAAAAGTTTTACAAAAAATTACAAATTAAATGTATCAACCCTCTGAGTTCAAAGCAGCATTTTGAAAATGAACTGGTAGTTAATCCTATAACCACCCCTGGAGTCGTAAGTGGCCCTTGGGAATAGGGATGGCCGGGTTCCACCTGTTTGAAGTCCTCTAACCCTCCTGCCTGCCTCTCCCCCCAACCCCTGCCCCTCTGCTGTCCTAGGATGTGCAGTCTGTTCCTCAAAGAGGTGAGGGTAAATAAGTTTCAGGTACGCCCCTCTTTCTGGTCTAAGACCAATCCCCGTTCTCTGGATTCTGCCTTCTCTCCTCTCGGGATCAGGCCCCTGCAAAGACTCTGGGACTGGTATGTTCTACTCGCATTATCTTTTAAACTTTGGGCCCCAGGTGACTAATTGGTTCTGGGGAGGGCTTCGGGAGAAGGCTGTCCCTGGGGTGATGGGAGGAGGGAAGGGGGCAGTGGGAGTGAGGTTCAGCAGAACCAGCTCTTAGGTACTCTCCAAGCCAGGCAGAGAGGGCTGGGCTGAAGCTGCATCTTTTAAAACAAAAGCCAAACAGAACAAGTTCCCTGACTGGACTAGCTAATGGGATCCTGTTTCACACAGTGACTCACTCCCAATGCTGCCCTCTCCAGGGCTTCTGGCTCAACTACAGTGGGAAGGACCCCACCTCAGACCTGCCCTGGGGAGCCACGGGGAGCCAGGGGAGCCAGGGACAAGTGCCACCGGCTTCCCTTTCCTTTCTTACACACATGGAGCCTCCGCTCTTACCGCAGCTTTTGGTGGGCTGAAGGTGATCAGCTAGGGCAGCCTAAACTCAGAAAAACGTGACTTCAAACTGTAGCTTATGTGACCTTTAGGTCTAGTCCGTGTGTGGTGGGGCAGGAGCCCCTTCCCCAGTCCTCCTCACTCCTGGCTGTTAGAAAAGCAAACCGTTCATGCCTGGCGTGGGCACTGCCTCTGGGAGGAGAAATGACATGTTAAGCAATTGATACCAAGAATTCTAAGGCGGCGATTGTCTCTGCCAGTTTTTAACATTAAGATTTCACAAATTGCCTGGGGTAACATTTTGCAAAAGATCTACTGATTACTTTGTAATATTGTTCACACACAAAAATAAATATTTACACAAATTAAAACGTCAGGGAGTGTACTGAGCAGGTGGAGGATGGCTGTGCAGATGGCTGGGTGTGGGGGAGGCCGTGGGCACTGGGGTTTGTGCTGTGCTAAGGGGGAGTCTCGGGTGTCCTGGCCCCGACCGGAGGCCTGGGGGTGGGTCAGATGCAAGGCAGAGGTGGTGTGGAGGGATGGGGTGTTGGAGGCCACTTGAGAGAGAAAAGCCCACCCCAGCCTCTCGGGGCTGGAAGCAGGCACAGGGTGGGACAGCCACACGGCTCCCTCCCCGGCCCTCCTGAGGGTGGTCTGCCAGTGCCGAGAGGCAGCTGGCTGTGGAGAAGCTGGTTCGAGAAGGGATACCTACTCTGGGGTCAGGTGGCTCTCAGTGGCCGTCCCAGGGTCACTCGGCCCCGGGCCTCTTTGCTCTGAGGGAGGAAAGGCAACAGAGGGCTTCTGCCAGCTCTGGGCAGGGGCGGCCGCGGAGCTGCGGTCATGGCTACGGAGTGTTGCACGGAGAGGCCCGGGGGCCTGCTGAGGTCTGGGCGAATCCCTGGTTTAGCAGCTCTGGTAGGTATTGCACTGAGCAAGAGGAAGTGCCTGTCGGGAGGAAGGAAACCAGGCCAGCTTTTTCTTTTGCCCCTTTCACACTCCAGGGATCAGAGGCTTCTTCCAGGACTGGTCCCTCCAGAAGGGCTGGTCTTAGGAGAACCCAAGTGGCTACTCTGGTGGATGATGGCCCCTCAGTTTCCACCACAGGGGCCGGGGATGGGAACTGAGCCCAGCCGCCTCTCCTGGCCAGTGGCTGCCTGAGACCTAGAGGCTCGCCCTGAAGAAACAGGGTCTCCCAGCAGGGGCCTGAGGGCCTGGGTCTGTGCGGGGAGTGTTCAGCCGGCTCCCTGGGCAGGTGAGGGTTGGGACTCTGCTGACCGGCCTCCGTCTCCCAGGCTCTGTCCTGTCGGGCAGCTGGGAGGGCCGGGCTTACATCCTAGGCACACACTGTGTGGGTTTGGGAGACAGCCGTTCAGAACAGGCTCAGGGCACATCCTGGAAAAAGCCCCCGCTGGAGTGTGAGGTAGAATACAGGGGGCCGTGGCTGGGACGTCTGTGAGATGGAGAGGGGAGCGTGGGTTTGTCTTTGCTTCGCCGTGGGTGTGGGTGAGGTCCTCCTGCTTGGTGGTGCCCGGCGCTCAGAGGGACAGCCCCCCGCGCCTGCCCCACCGCCGCCCGCCCTGCAGCCCGCCCTCGCCAGGGTAGTGATATGGAATGTTAGGGCACAGGGAGACATCCTTCTGATCAGACAGACACAGACTGGCAATCTGTACAAACACAAAAGAATCCATTTCAAAAAAATAAATTACTAAGGGGAGAGGAAGAAAGGGTCCACTTTGTTTTTCTCAATAAATATGCAATTCTGCTCACCTAAGACTTGAAAGGTAATTATCTGGGAGTGGGATTCTAACATCAGGGTCCACGAAGATGATCTAACTAGAGCTGCGACCCCAGCGCCCCGGCGGGGAGCCCAGCCCTTCCAGAGCTGCCCCATCGGCCTCTTCCAAGCAGGTCAGAGCACCTGTGTGGTGAGATTCCAAAAAAAAGTGTCCTTGTGCCCAAAGTCTCAGGTGCTTGGAGTGTGGCTAGAAACAGCTCTCGGATCCCACCTCTTTCAAAAAACGAAATGTACCAACTGGCGAGGCGGGAGCTGGGTCGGGCGGGACAGCCTCGTTCCCGAGGGGAGTGCACGCCAGGTGCCACCCGGTCAGTTCTGCTGTAAAATGAGGTTTTCCAGTTCGTCCGCTGAGCGCAGCAGGAAGGCGGCAGACTCCCGGTAGCCGGCGATGAGCTGCCGCACGGCACTGATCTCCGTGGGGCTGAGCTGGGCGGTGGGCATGGTCCTGCTGGTGCTGTTGCTGGAGGGCGTGGGGGTGGGCGTGGTGGAGGTGGTGGAGGCCCCGCCTTTCATGCTGAGGTCCGTGGGCCCTGCAGGGGGAGAGGGAGGTGAGGGGAGTGGACACTGAGGGCACCTGGGAGGTGCCGCCGTCCTCTCCCTTGTCCTGGGCCTGCTGTGGCCCAGGAGAGCTGTACTTCTAGTGCCTAGAATGGGGCCTGGGGCCAGCGGACGAGACATGGGGTTCTCTCTGCTCACCCTCAGGGAGAGCCTGCAAAGGAGGAAGCGTGTCGTCACCACGTGACAGGTGAGAGCAGCTGAGGCCTGGTGGTTGAGAGGTTTCTCCAAGATCACATATGCACATGGTTCTGCATCCAGGGCAGCGTGGCACGTGACAAAGCACGGGCTGTGGCGTCAGGCGGGGAACAGGCTCCTGGCACTGATCACACCTCTGCTTCTTTCTGAGGACCGTCAGGCAGATAGACGGTGCTCCCCCAACAGGTGCACAACCTGGCCCTGCAGGTCTCCAAGTGAGCAGAGCTTCGGCAGGAACTGACCTACCCGAGCAGGCAGGCTGCTGGCGTGTCTGGTGAAGGTGAGCTATGTGTGTGGCCCTCCCAATGGGGCGGCTGTCAACAGACGTGGTCAGATGCTGCCGGTAAGCAGGGGCCTGACCCCCAGAGCCAGAGAGGAGCCATAGGAGATCAGGACGACACCCACCCATGTGTGTGTGTGTGTGTGTGTGTGTGTGTGTGTGTGTGTGTGTACATGCACAGGTAGGCAAGGGGCTTCTGTCCAGTGGAGAGAAGCCATCAAGGCCGCTGCCCTGCGTGGCTGAGGGAGAGGTGGGGCCGAGACCAGGACCGCAGCCCCGCAGGAAGGGGCTATGCCTGTCTCCAGAGGAATCACGGACCATGAATCTTACTGTGAGGAGGTCTTTTGTGCCGGAGTGAGGGAAGGTCAGTGCTGCTGAACAGCAGGGAGTGTGGGATGGATGTGGGGGAGTTAGAATGGTCAGGATAGGACCAGAAGTGCTGTCTGGAGGAGTCACCTCCCCTTTGCAGGAAAGAGGGAGTCTGACATCTTCTGAAATACACTTGGGGTGTATGTTGGGGAGCCCACCAGGCCCTGTTCCTCTCCACCTCTTCCAAGCAGCTCTACAGGGTGGGCCATTGGCTTTAAAACAGGCGAGCCTGGGCTCGGCTGCCCTCCACTCCGAGGCCGCACAGTGACTTCCCTGGCCTGGGTCCTGTCTGCATGAGAGGAGGCGCTGGGGGCTGAGGCTGGCCTGGGAAACTCAGCCTGGGAAACTCAGTGTAGCCGCGGCCGCGCAGCCTGCACAGGCCCCTGGGAAAGGGCTTTCAGACAGGTGCCATGCTTTCTGAATGGGCTCTCGGGGGACAGGGAAGCCCCTGGGATTTGAAAAGCAGCCTTTTGAGGTGTTCGGTCAGAGAAGACCCAGGGAGTGAGGATCTGGAAGTTGAGGCTTCCTGATGGAGGGTCCTCTGACCCAACGAGGTCAGCGCCCCGTCCCCTCCCCGCTGCCCTGTGCAGAGGCACCTCATGAGGACAGCACCTCCCCCGTCCCACCCCGGAGGTTCTCATGGCGGTCTCACTCGTTACTGCATTTACAGTGGCAGCTTCTGTGCTGCTCTAGAGAGAGAGGGACAGGCCCTTGTCCTGGAGGCATCTAGACCGGAAGTAACATGTTGGGAAAGGCTGGGAAGTAGCTGCTGCTAACGGGAGCTGCTGCAGACTCCAAAAGGGGAAGGAAGTGTGAGTCTATGATGGGACAGTTTGCCACATGAGGTTATTTTCTCCCTTGAGAACGTGGACGTAGGGAAGTGGGCTCTAGGAACTGGCCTGCTAGGAATATCTTGGGACCGTGAGCCCAGGGAAGAGTTAAGTGTGTTAAAATGAAACCAGGAAGGAGTGGGCTGTGACTCGCTGGAAACAGCAGCCAAGCAGACGACCCGCTCCCCTGTTGGCAGCTAAATGAGAGGCTGGGTGGGAGCCGGGTGCCCTACCGCCCCCTGGGTGCGGCAGGGATTGGACCCGAGTGAAAGGGATGGTTCGGTTCCCTCTGGGGCACCTCCCTGTCCCTCCAGACAATGCGTGGGGACGGCAGAGGGCGGCTGGAGCTGCCTGCACAGGTGGTGAACTGGCCCTGGGCTTCCTCCTTCCTCCCTCCATCCCCAAGTCTTGTCCTCTTCACCCCTGTGCTCAGGGCTGTCCATCTCTCCTCGGCTTTAGCTACAGCCCAAGAGGAGAAAGTCCTGTCTCCTGCGGCCCATCTGATCAGAGCTCTCTGCTCGCAGGCTCTGGTTACAGGAGGACGCTCAAGTTGCCAGGCAGTTGCTGGGAGGGCAGCCCAGCACACCAGGCAAGCGGGCAGAGCCCACGTCTGTCTAAGCTGATTTGCATCTCCAGATGACAGCCTAATGAACAAAGTAAGGAGCTCGGTGCCACTTGTGTGGCTGCCCAACCCAGCGGCCAAACTGCCTGAACCACCTTAGAGGCTGCACGGGAGTGAGTGGGACTGGGGGCCCAGCAGCCAGCCGTTACTGGTTGCTTTCCTCCAACCGACTCAAGCCCAGTGCCCACCGGTGAGAAGGTCAATGGGCAGATCTCTGTCTCAGTGACCTTGCCAGCCGCCTCCAAAGAACCAGGGTGCTCACAGGAGACGGGGGCTCGGGAGGCGCCTGCAGGTGTGAGCAGGCCAGGAGTGCAGCAGGTCGTGCTCTTACGAGGCAGGAGCAGCCCGACAGCTGCAGCCCTGAGACAGGCCATGCCTCGTGGCGCCAGGTGGAGGCTTATCAGCATCGCCTGCTGCCTGGGAAGGACGGGCTCCATCCTCCCCGCGCATAACGAGAGGTTCTAACCATCCTGTCCCAGGGCCTGTCAGATGGCCCTCCTTTCTGGAAGGAGAGCAGCCCCCTGCACAGCTTCCACCTCTCAGTCTCAGGGATTAGGGCCGGGCCACCTCTTATTTTTAGGTTAAGAGGCATTAGGAAGGGATGAGATTAAGCCCAGGCAGGAATCTTCCAGGAACCTCATATACGTCCTGGTGGGTGGGGGTCAAGGTGAGTGTAGGGTGCCTGGCCCTCTGCGGTGGGCAGGGACCAGTTCCCTCTGTCACTGACCAGCAACACCCTGGCTCTCCTGCAGCATCTGAGAGGAATTCTCGGGCTTGTTTGGCCCAGACCTAGAACCAGGGTTCCCAACTGCTCCTCAGGCAGCAATTTGGTGTTAACCCCGGCCCCGTGCCCTCCTGCCCCCAAATGCATACTGCTCTGCCCTCCTGTTCAAATATCCAGGGGCAGACAGAGTACAGTTCACAGCCTCCTTTACTTACAACCTATCAGAACAGACAGAACAAAATCCAAGGGCCTCGCCCAGGAGATCACCCAGGCTTTTCTCCCCCAGGGGAACCCCAGCCTGGCCTCAGTGGGCCTGGGCCTGAGATCTCCACTCCAGGCCCCTCGGGAGCACCTGTCTCCCCAGGGAGGTTTCTGCCTTTCAGGGATATTTCTCCAGCACTGGTCTAGGCGTGGCCGGCCTCAGAGTCACTCAGGAAGAGTGTAGGGGAGCACCTAGGGAATCATGGCCCGGGGGACCTGATGGGACAGGTGCTGGGCCCTGCATCAACGGGTAAGAATCTGCGCCTCACAAGTAAGGTCCGGAGCTGAGGCTACAGTGAGTGGGCCAGGCCTGCACCGAGTCCTGCTCCACCATCTCACTGAGCCGTGGTCAGGGAGGTAGAAGGGGGGTGTGGAGGGGTCCCACTGGATAAAGAGCAGGGCCTTGGCTGGATGGACCGCAGTGCCCAGCTCACAGGGCCATAGGGGCCCACAGTGCAACAAACAAAGCACACCTCCTGGAGGAGGGTTTATTTGTTTCATCAGCTGAAGTTGTCCTTGCTTTCCTGTCTAGGGACTGGGCTAAGATGAGATGGGAAGGGTCCCTGTGCCAGGAAGGAGTTACTTTCCCCCTTCTGGAGGCGGCAGCCTCCTTCACTCACCGTTACTGTGATTTCCTGTTTGCAGGGAGGCGGGGGGCTGCAGGTTGCTGCCCAGGGCCCCGTAGCCGCGGTAACTGTAGTTGAGGCCGCCATTGACGTACACGGGGTCCTGGGAGTAGGAGGAGGCTGGCAGTGAGTAGGTGGAGTGGGTGATGGCTGCAGAGTCCCGGGAGTGCTGCTTGTCCAGGGCTATGGGCTCGTCCTGCAGGGGGAGGGAGACACTGAGGACCCAGCAGGGCAGCGAGCCAACCGGGTGGATGAAGGCTTCAGCCCCCCAGTCTCTGGGACACAGTGCTGTGTCCTACAGGGTGGTCCCCACCCCTGGTCATCGCACACAGGGCCTTCCTGAGTCTGCAGGGCTGGGTGCCCAGGCCCTCCCCATCCAGCTCCATGATGCTGCCTCTGGGTAGCCCGCCTGGCCCTCACTGGGGCCCCACTGTCTGTGGAATGACTGATGTCCACCCGCCCAGCCGCCCACAACCGTGGCCAGCAGCGACCAGTACCTGCGAGGACTGGTAGATCTCCAGACGCATCCTTTTGGCTGCTTTTCTCGTCTCGCTCTCACAGGCAGCTGCCAGGATGTTCTCGGCCATGGCCGAGGTCAGGTGGGGAGGTGTGGGTCTGGTCTGCAGGCAGAATGGGGGTTAGTGCTGGGCCGCACAGAGACCCTGCCCTAGCGGTGTTGGTGGAGGGCCGGGGTCAGGCTTCAGGGCCCTTATCTATGGAGCTGGGCCCCTTACGGATCTCAGCTCCCCTCTACCCCCTGTGAAACAGGGACCATGGAGCTGGCTCCTGGAACACCGGGAGGATTATGGGTAACGTGTCTGGCCACGGGGACCCACAGCCATCCAGCGAGTGGTGGAGGGGCGGGGCGCGGCCGAGGGGCGGGGCGTGTGTCGGAGGGGCGGGGCGCGGCGGAGGGGCGGGGCGCGGCGGAGGGGCGGGGCAGGGCGCGGCCGGCGGCTCACCATCTCCATGCCGTTCTTCTTCATGCGCCGGCAGGACTTGAGGTAGGTGCGGATGCGCTTGCGGGCCCGCTCCTGGAACTCGGGGAACTGCCGGCTGCAGGACTCGATGATGGCCTGGATCTTCTCCTTGGGCTGCTTGGAGATGGGCACCATGCGGTCTAGGTTCTCGTCAACAAAGAGGCGCACAAACATCTGCAGGAGAGACCGGCTGTGGGAAGGGCTGGCCCTGGCCGCGGCCGCCCGCCCGCCCGCCCGCCCGCCCCGGCACTCACGTTGAAGGCCTTGAGGCGCTCGGGGTCCATGCCCTCCGAGTCGTTCATCTTGTCGTTGTCCTCGTGGTCATCGTGGTCGTCATCGTCGTCGTCTGCAGGGGGAGCCCGGCCCACGGTCAGGTCCTCGGGGCAGCCGCTGACCTCGGTCTTGATGGAGTCGTAGCTTCCTGAGCTGTACGGGGGGGACTGGGAGAGGAGGGGGCCGTCAGGCAGGCCTTCCCTGGTCCCCGGCAGGTCTCAGCGAGCTTAGGAACTGGGTACCCGCACACCCACTGCCACTGAGCCAAAGCTGCGAGGCCCTGAGCATGTCCGTCCCCTCCCCTTCACCTGTGAAATGGGGGCAGCGTGGCTGCGGGAAGGACACAGGGCCCGGAGTCCGGGGCGGCGGGAGAGGAGGTGGGGCACTGAGTGGAGGGTGTTAGTGGTTTGCTCGGCCAGTGCCCACACCGTGACACTGTGTGAAGGAAAGGCAGACACAGAAAGGGTTCCCGCCAACAGCCAGCCTCTTCCGGTTGTGCCAGATCTGTTCTGGCTTCGGGGTTTTCTCCCCGACCCCCAAGGGGCTGCAACCCTGCGTTGATAACCAAGCTGTCACAAAAGCAGCCGTGTGCTGTCTGCTGGGGAGGAGGAACAGATGGGCTAAGCTCCCGGTGGGGGTTCTCCTGTCTGCCACCTCCTCTCCCCGCAGGAAGACACGGAGAGCCCGCTGAAAGGACACAAGGGGGGAAGGCAACCAGGTGTCGCGCACACACGGGGCACAGCACCTCCCCAGCCTGGACGGCCTCCCCTCTCCTCCAGCTTGCTTCCCTTTTCACCTCTGCAGCCCAGTGCCCACCGAGGACACTGTCATTCGCCTTTTAGAAAGTTTGCACCTTTGGCAAGTCCTGGCTTCACTTACTGGGATCCTGACTAGGCTGTGCCGGGACATGGGCCCTGTCCTCAAGGTGGGCATCCAGCAGGTGCTTGGGCCCAGGAAACAAACAGCTACGGTCAGTCCCCTCGGTGTGGCCACAGGGTGGTCTGGCAGGGGCACATCTTGTGGACAAACGGACACCACCAGGCCTCCCTGAGACCAGGCCCACAGGCGCGGCCTCCCCGGAGCCGCTGGACCGGTGCCCATCTCCGATCCATACACAGACTCGAAAGGGGACAGCGACACCCAGGTCCTCTGGCCTCCCACTGGCTCAGGCCAGACTTGCAATGGAGTCAAAAAGACTTGTGCAAGTCACGTCCCAAACTGCGCCTTAGCCAGTCCTCTGGCGGCGGCGGCGGCAGGAAACTGCTAAGATGTGCGCTGCTGGTGGCACTCAGCTCTCATCCTACTTGCTGGGCTCATACGCGTGGCCTGAGGCTTGGGGGCAAACTCGCCCTCAGCTCTTTGCTCACTGGGACAGCAGCTCTGCCTTTCCCTCAGTCCCAGTCAGAGAGGGGAGCACCTGCTCCACGGCCCGAGCTTGCACAGCAACAACCACACATGGCTGCTCGCACAGAATTCCCCAGAGACTGCCTCCCACCCCCCACAGGAAAGGGGACGGGCCACGGCTGGGGCCAACATCGGCTGGTGAGGCTCGGTTGGTTGGGTGCTCTCCAGGGTGGCCAGTTCAGTTCCCAGCCAGGCCACACAACCGGGTTGTGGGCTCAATCCCCACTAGGGGTGTGCAGGATGTTTCTCTCTCTTCCTCTCTGAAATCAGTTTTTAAAAAGTACGGGGGTTGGGGGAAGGCAGTACCAAAAGGTGGGAGCAGCTGCCCTGCCCCCTCCCCCCCCCGTGACCTGGTCCATTGCATTCCCCACCTCCACGGAGGAGCCAGGAAACGGAGGCCTCGGGACTCTGCCGGATGTGGCACTTGTGCTGCCATTCAAAGCAGGCTCCGCCTTGTGGGTGAAGGGCTCACGTCACCCACCTCCTCTGAGACGGGACGCAGGCTCAGAGAAATGGGGTCACACAGGATGGTCTCTCATCCCAGAGCCGCCTCAGAAAGACACCCTGTTCACCACCCTGACTTGGCATCAGCTCTGGACACACACACTTTCCCTTCCGCCTCGCACACCCTGAGGGGTCCAGGCTCGGGCGGCCCACAGCCCCACGCACCTCGGGGGTGGTCTTCACCCCGTACTTGACGCGGCTCCGCAGTCCGTCCGGGCCGCAGCCGTCCGCGGGGTAGGCGGGCGTGCCGAGGGCCGTGCCCGGCGGGAGCTTGTCGCACAGGTTGATGGGCTGGTCCTCGGCGGCGGCCGTGAAGTCCATGGGGGCCACGGCGCCGTTGCCGTTCATCTCGGGGAAGGCGGGGTCGCCCTGCGTGCTGCTCGACGTGGATGGGTTCAGGGTGGAGGAGCCATTGCCGCTGCCGCTCTCGGAGGAGGAGTCGTCTGAAACGAGAGGCCTGGCTGTGAGGCTCCAACCCGGGACCCGCTATTCCCCAAGAGCCTGCCCCCAGGGTGCCGCGGGCACAACAGCCACAGGGAGGACGTGCCCTGGGCCCGGCGTCCCTGGGCAGGAGGTGAGCACTGCTGTCCCTCTAGCTGCCCCAAGGGGCTAGCCCGGCCGGAGGCGGGGGCAGCCCCCTCTGCCATGAGCGGGGCCCATCCAGACCAGGGTGGCCACCGGGTGTGCAGGGTGCGATGGCCTCCTGGGTTAAACACCACATCCAGGCTCATGGAGGCCCAGCTTCAGGGCCCTGGGGGTGAGTGCTTATGACCTCAGGTCTGACTGGTCTGCTGCCTACCAGAGGTCCTTGGTCACCCCAGAGGCTGCTTGGGGTCTGGCCAGCGGCTCCCCCTTTTCCTCCAACTCACCACAACCTTGCCCCTTCACACCCTTTCCCCACAGGACCTCCTCTTTACAGCAGGCCCTTGAATTTTCCCTTCCTCTGCCTGCGGAGGCGGGGATGGCCCCATTGTAACCTCCCAGCTCCCTCCTGCGAGCAGGCCCAGCCCGATGCTGGCCGCGGAGGCACCCAGGCACAGGCCCCCAGATCTGCCCTCTGCTGGTGGTGCAGAACCTTGGACACTGAGACAGTGCAGCAGGGTGTGTGGTCTGCGCGCCCTGCACCTCAGTGGCCATCCCAGGTTTCCTGAGGTGACAGCCCAACAAGGCTCTGCCGAGGTCGCCCCCTGCTGCGGAGAGCACAGCACTGCCTCTCCGGGAGCACACACTCCCAAGGGGGCGGGGAGACGTTTTCGGATGGATTCCAGGCCCCTCTCCACGCCCGCCCGGCCTCCCGCGTGGTCTGCTGGGACAGCAGAGGCCGGGGCGCTAACTGGAGCTCCCGGGCCGGTGTCAGGTGAGGACCATGTGGTTCCCGGTGGTGCCCGTGCCACTCCGCACCTGCACCCAGAACGGGCAGGGAGGGGCGGCCGCAGTGAACCCTGACCGCCTCCCAGGCCACCCCGCCCTCGGGCCGGGTTGCGCAGTGCAGGACCCACCCCCACCCTTCCAGCCGGTAGATTATGAAGATTTAGTCTTCAGTGCTGGGCGCACCAGCGCCTCCGGAGCGTCCCCATGGCGACTGAGTGGCTCTAAAGCCTCAGCCAATCACTGGCCTTCCTGCTGCCTGGGGGGCGGGGCCGGACTGCCAATCAAGCAGCCGGGTCCCTGGGCAGAGGGGGATGGGACAGGCCTGGGCCAGGCTGCCCGCCCTCTGTGCAGCCACCACTCCCTCCCTCCTCCTCCGGGGCAGCTGCAGCGCAAAGCTGCCCGCTGCTACCCCCTCACTCAGCTACACCCCGAAGCTCCCGGGCCTTGGGTCCTGCTCCCTCTGAGACCTCACGGCCCATCCCTCCTCCTGCATCACAGCAGGGTCTGGCTTGCTTCTGGGCGTTATCTCCACCACCAGCCCAGACCAAGCAGGATTTACTGAGCATCTACTGTGTGCTGGCCCTGGCCCTGCTGGGAAACAAAGCAGGGACTACAACCCAGGGGCAGGCCCTCCTGGGCGGGTGTCCACCCCCCAATCCCCTTCACTGCCCTCCCTCTTTAACCCCAGCTTCCCTCCGTCAGTCATAGGGCCCCACCCTCATGTCTCCCAGCGCCCGCCTGATCCTCACAGCCCTGTCAATAGCCCCCTGCTGCCCAGCCTGCCCAGTGTGTTCGTGGTCCCGTGACGCCTGCAGTCGCTCCCCTGCCCAGGTCCCGCCACACTGGCCACCACGGGACCTATATTTCCAGACCTTTGCTTTGGGCACTGCCGTCTGCCATGTTCCTTCCAGCTCAGTAAGTGTCAGTCAACCTTCAGGCCTGGCTCAAAGCCACCTTCCTCCTCCCTCTGTTCCTAGGAAGGAGGTACTCAGGCCCTGGCCACGCCCAGGGACACTTCACACGGCCCAGGGTTAGTCCTGAGGGCTGCCCTCCTTCCACCAGGCAGGGCCTGTCGCCGGAGAGGCCCCCACGCCTGATGTTCCGGACCCTCTGCCCGGCAAGGGTGGGCACGCACACTGGCTGGTCTGCCGAGCTCCCATGTCACCTCACACCCGGCACCGCCCCCAGCAAGCCACCTGTTTGAGCATCTTCCTCTTGAGGAGGATGAAGCTGGGAGGGCCAACAGGTACCACATCTGCCCTCGGTGAGCTGTCACTGCACTCGGCACGGGGATGAGCGCCACACCCGGAGGCAGCACCCCGACCACCGGCCTCCCTGACAGGTCTCCCCTGGAGTATGTGTTCCTGTGCTTCCCCAGGCGCGAGCGAGCGAGCAGGAGACTCGTGTGCTGGGAGGATACGCAGGCGGGTGCTCCCAGCTCAGAAGCCCAGGGCCGTGGCCCAGACTCTTGAGCTGCTAATGTCCTTCTCTCACGGCTGTGCAGGAAACCACAGGCGGTGGCACCCCCCCCCCCCAGGGGCCACCCGGTTTGGTCAGCAAAGTGGCTGGGCAGATGAAACCTGTGAGGCACCTGGAGCCCAGACCTCCTGTGGCCAAGCATCTGAGCTTTAAGGAGAAACTGGAAACCTGCAACAGTATATATGCAGATTTAAAATATTAGTGAATGGCATACCATGTTTACGTTTTTAAAAACTGACAGATAAATGGATAAACAAAATGTGGTCTATCTGTGCAATGGAACATAATTTAATCATAAAAAAGGAATGAAATTCTGACACATGCTACAGTATGGATGGACTTTGAAAACATCACGTTCAGTAAAATAAGCCAGACACAACAAGGCGAATACTGAATGAGCCCACTTGTATACGATACCTAAAATAGGCACATTCATAGAGACAAAGATGTATATTAGGGGTTACCAGGGCTGGGAGAAGGGGGGGATGGGAGTTTTTGCTTAAGGAATACAGAGTTTCTGTGCAGAGTGATACTAACTCTACATTCATCTATAGGTTCTTGGAAACTGAGGCTCTAAGCAAAACAATGTATAAGAAAGCGGATTTTACCACAGGCTAATTGATATAAACAAGAGTTAAGCTCCTGTGGCATATTTCCAGTAAAAAAAAAAAAAAATCACCAAATTTCTAAATAAAGACCCCAAAAGACTTCTACCATTAAACACTGAAGTAACTGTGAGCTATGCATACATTTAAGGAAGATTAATAAAAACAAGACATTTTTCAACCCGCTAATTCCTGTTCAGGGCCGTGAGTGACCGGAGCAAATCGTGCAGACAGTGGCCCTGACCAGAATTGGCTTTTCCCTATCACGTACCAAAACGATATTGAACGAGACGACAGACATTATTCAAATACCTGTCGTGTTTTGGAAATAATGGTGCTGGTTGCACAACACTGTCCATGTGCTTAATGCTATTTAACTGCACGCTCCAAGAGTCCAAAGGGGAAGGTTATGTTCTATATATTTCACCACAAAAAAATCTCCCCCAAACCAAAAAACCTTGAGCAGGCCAGTAGGCCCCAGTTCATAAGCTCCATTTCCTCCCACCCCACTTACCCAAAGGCCAAGTCTCCCTCTTCCACCGGCACCTGGCGGCAGGGAAAGCCAGCCCCGCACAGAGCCCCCATGGGAGGGACAACCACGCTGCTCCAGCACCCCGGCCGGCGGGCTGGCCACGGCCCGTGCGGCCTGCCCAGCAGCACTGCTCAGGGCTGTCCCAGCTCGGGGCCGCTGGCTGCCAGCTGGGTTTCCACAGACAGCGGAGGGTCTGGCGAAGGGGGATGGACACGGTGTCTCCTTGAAGACACCACTTCACCTCTCTCAGCCCCCGTTGCCTTTCCAAATGGCTGTCATGTCAGTAAAATAGTCGTAAGGTGTATACAGTCCCACTTTCTCCAATTCCAAACAGACCTCCTTTCCCAGACCGGGACATGGGCTTCTGGGGATCCCCAGGCGAGGGGGCCACATCTGAGCTGAGGAGGCGCGGTGAGGGGAGGAGGGAGAGGACAGCATCTGGAAGAGGCCGCTTCTACCCTGTTCTCTTCCTTTCTGGAACCCCTGGTGGGTGTCAGGCCCATGAAAGACATTGGGGACACAGTGGTGAAAGATAGGGGTGGCCACCGTCCTGGGGATTCACGCTCTGCTAAGCCAGAGATCACACCAGGTTCTGAAGGAGACTGGGCTCCAGAGGGAGCACCGAGAGCTTTGATCCCTCCTTCCACTCCAGCTGTGCTCGGAGCCTTTTCATTTTCACTGGCTGTCCTCCCCTCCCTCTCCCTCTCCCTCTCCCTCTCCCTCTCCCTCTCCCTCTCCCTCTCCCCCTCTCCGTCTCCGTCTCCGTCTCCCCCTCTCCGTTTCCCTCTCCCTCTCCCTCCTCTCTCTCTCTCTCTCTCTCACACTCCTTCCCCTTCAGAGCCTTGCTTAAACATTGCCTTCTGGTGAGACCTCCCTCGCCTAGCCTCCTGCCCAATCTGCCCCTTTACCTACTTTCCCTAGAACAGTTCCCGCCTTCTCACTCACTGTCTCTATGGTCAGGTACTGGGTGGGCAGCCACCTCTGACTCTCCAGAAGCCACACCCCTCTATTGGGCGAGGGATCCCCCCGGCTTCCCGAGGAGGCATGTGCCCCAGGACTGGCCACTCCGCACAGCCCACCATGGTGACCAGGGACAGGCCAGTTCCAACCAGGAGAGTCGGTCCGTCCTGGGCTCCTCCTGGACCGACTGGGAGGAAGTGCCCCCCTTGGAGCTGAGCCCCTGGCCGGGCGGCCCCGCCTGTCAGGCTGGCATGGGCAACGCCCCCCAAACCCATCGGTCCGAAGCAAAGGCCATATACTTTTCATATGGAAGCCGCTCAGTTCCTCAGGGCTGATGCTGAAGTAGGCTGTGTCACGTGTGTCTGGTTTGCTCTGAGTAATTCATGCTGCTCCCCCTCCCCCGGGGACAAAGGACTGGAGCCCAAGTCGGCTCTCTCCTCACTATGGCCACCACAGCCCAGGCCTGTGCCCCGCTTGGTGCTGAGGTGGCTGGTGC